CGGGTTGAACACGTCTCTGTGTCAGTGCAGATTGGGAACACGCGCTATGTCAGAGTGTCCTGCTTCAAGGGGAAGGTCCTTGTGGACATCAGGGAGTTCTACGCTGACAAGGATGGAGACATGAAGCCGGGGAGGAAAGGTACTGGTGATGTTTTGGGTGTTTTCCCTTGGTTTATAATGGTGGAGCTGTGCTTGGCAGGGAGAGCCCCCCAGAAGTAAATCCACTCCTCCCAGTTGAGGTGGGGACAGGAAGGAGAAGACCCTTCTAGGTCCCAGCCAGGACACTCCAGTGCTGCTGTGCTAAGTGTTCCTTATCCTTTAGGCATGTGCTATAGAGGCACCACTACCTGAGTGGGTGATGGAAGTGAAGGGAAGACACGTTTTCCTCTGGAGCTGAGGAGTTAAGGCTCAACTTAGGCCTTTGACACTTGCCTCGTAGCTCTCAGGCCCTGGGCTCTCTTTGCCTGTCCTGGGTGTTGTGCCCAATAGAGATTGGGTTGACGTGGGCTTTCCTGAGGAACCTTTTGGTCCTTGCTAGAGGTTTGCGTGTCAGGGCAGGCAAACCTGCTTCAGCTTAGTTTGCTTCATACCCACTGAGCGTGGTTTTCCTTCCAGAAATGAGTTTCCTTCGGAGAAGTTACAAGTCTAAATTGCTCCCTTAGAGGGAACTGTGTAGCCTCTCATGCAAATGGGAAGCAAAGCCCTCCAGCTCTTCTGTGCCGTTGGGAGCAGGGAAGGAAAGGAGCCTTGTGGACTCCTTCCAAGCTGGGAAAAGCACACCCACGATGTAAGACACAAGATCTGTCAGTTAAAACAGAGATGATGAGGAAATGGTGCTTTTCAGTGAAATATTGCCTCTGCTTTCGCAAGAGCTCTTGGGCCCTGATCTTTATCTAGAGAATTTAATAAAGCTCTGACCCCACTTCTTTCATGTGATTCTTAACCAAGCCAAAAGGAACACGTTGACATCTGGCTGGAACACACACAGCAGCATTCCACTGCTGCATTGGCTTTGTATAGGAGAGGGACAGCACATCAAGGTCTCTGCTGGACCTCCGGAGGAGCCAGTTCTTCTCTAGTGTTTGAGCCACAGGAGTGATTTCTGGTTAGCAGCCTATTTAAACAGAGCTGGAGTTGGCATTGTTTCCCTTGGGCAGTTGAAAGGAAACTGGTGCTCACCCCCTGCCTCCTCTGAAGCCTCTCCTGCTCTCTCTAGGGATTGCTCTGTCTGCAGACCAGTGGAACCAGCTGAAGGAGATCATCCCCGAGGTCGATGCTGCAGTGAAGAAGCTCTAACGTGAAGAACCTTGGACACTTTCAATCTCTTTCCTTTCCCTTAAGTGCACTGAGAAGTATAAAGGCAAAGATTCCCACCCGGAGCCTTCCCCTCACCCACTGGGTTCCTCCCCGCGGTGGTGGTCATGCTGAAAACACTCTTCTGTTTCCAAGGAGTAGCTTGTGATGAGCACTGGGAACCAGCACCAGTGCTTGAAGTGAGGCTTGAGCACGTCTGATCTCAAGCAGACCCGAGACCTGTGCTGCTGAGGGACACGAGGTGTGGATGGCTTCAGCCTTGTGGGATGCTTTACCTGCTACTGTCTTGCACTGTGTTGGGTGCTCAGCAAGATGGGTTGTCCACCTCACGCTGGCATCCTCTGTGTTTCTTCCACGTGTCATTCAGCCTTTCTGGGTGAAGAAAGGCATTAGTGTACTTCAGCAACTGGTTTGGCTGTCGAGGGTGAAGGTACACACAATAAAGGTGCTTGCATTATCAAAAGGCCAGGGTGGTGTCTCGCAGCCTGGCACCTCAGCTCCTTGTTTCAGGCACCCTTCCTTGCAGGCTGCTGTTGGGTTTCCCTTTCAGAAGGAAGAGGGTTTGTTCTCATGCCATGTTCCCAATAATCCTGCTGGACAGAAGCAGCCAACAGGGGTGCTCCAGGTCATGGGAAGGGCGAGGGAGAACGTGAATCATTCCAGGGAACCGGTGATGAGGAGACCTATTAAATAGAGGGGAAATTAAAGGCCTAAGGAGGAAAAGGAACATTCCTTTCCCTGTGGCAGAGAAAAATGACAAGCTCTGGGAGGAGAGGAGGGAGGCTATTTTGTGCCTGAGCTCTAAATGGATCCCACTCTGGGCTCAGCTGCAGCCTTCCTCAGCAAGACTTTTCCAGACTCTTCAACAGCTTGCGTCTTCCATCTATTTTTGGGTTCTCTCTTGCCCTGGTTTCCATAGTATCCGAATGCTTCATGCTCTTAAATATATCTGACACTTGCAACACCTTGGTGAAGTAGGAGGTACCCAGGCCCTTGCTCTGTGGAGGTGCTGGGGCTGTGTGGAAGATGTGGGGTGGAGCAGTGAGTTGAAGTTAGGCTTTCCTGAAGGCTGGATTTGTCCCTGCGCTCGGGATAGCAGGAAAAAATCATCTGTCCTCATAGAACTGCCTCTTCAAGCCAGTTCTGGAGAGAGCTCAGCACTGTAGCTGCTCGGTGGAGATGGGTAGGGTTGGTGGCTGAGGTGTTCTCCTCTCGCTTGGTGTTCTGCTACTCTCTACCTCTTCCTCTCAAGTCCCAGAGCCAGGTTGCTCATGCTTGAAAGCTTCCTGTGGGATACCTATGTCTTGGTGTTCAGGCACTGAAGGGAATGGGAAGATAAAAAGCAAGAGAAGATGGTGAAGAGGAGAGAGGATGGAAGCTTCTAGCAATGGATCTCCCCTGCACAGGGAGGGTGTTTTCCCCTGGAGCTGTTCATCTGCCTGGCTTGGAGCACTTTGCTCCACACCCTTTTGCTCCAGACCAGAAGCAATCACGTTACAGGAATGAACTTTTATCTTCTTGAGACAGGATATTGTTGCTTGGGGTTTTCTCTGCCAGGGCTGTTGTAACTCGGCCTTTGGCTCTTGGGGAGCAGATAGGGAAGGGAAGGCAGCTTGTTTTGAAGGATCCTTGAATGATTTCCCCCCTCCTCTCTATTTCTCTGGGCTGTTGGTTGGATTTCTGTCTCCTAGGTGATGCGGAGATGCAGAGCTCTAGCTTGGCTTTTGTCCTTTCCTCCATGCCTTTCGGAGCTGGAAGGAAAGGGCAAGCACTCCAAACGCAACGTGTAGCTTTGCTGTCCCTCTGTCCCCTGTCGGAGCCCTTCTCTGCTGGACTGGATGTTCCTCACCTTCCTCTTAAGCTGCCCCTGTCTAAATCCAAACACTCACGTGCCACAAGCAGCAGAGATGTGCTTTTCTCTTGGGGTTTTTCACTAGCAAATCTCGCCCTGCAGAGGAGAATCCTGGGCACAAAATGTGCTTTTCCTTTAGCAGCTCTTTTGCTGGAGCAGCACCTCAGGTTTGGGCTGAACCTGGCCCTTCATCCTTTGGGAATGGTGCATCTGAGCCCTACTGTGCCCCTTCCAGCTCTCCCTTGCAGCCTTCTCAGTGTCAAATGCAAAGGTGACCTGTCAGGTCCCTTCTTCACCCTCTCTTGGTGCCGTGACTATCCTTTATCTACCCCTTAACCCTGTTGCTGTGGTGTGTAAATCTCTGCCTGGCTCTGAGTTCTTCCCAGGCCCAGCAGTTCTAATTCCCGTTTACCAGCAGGATTTTCAGGTCTGTTTCTCTCTGCTGCAACCAGAGTGATTATAAAATGTCTACTCATGGGCTCCAAAAGCTCCTGGATGTACCTTTCCTTCTCAACAGGCATTTTCTACCTGAGGCACTGGGTCCCTCGAGCTCTAACCTAAGCCTGGAGCAGCTTGTGCTGCAGGACCTGACAGGGAAAAGCAGGCTGGGCATGGAAAGGTGCTTGGAAACATGACTTGCTAAGGCGTGATTCATCCAAGGTGAGAGCTTTGCTGCTGTTGTGATCAAGGTTTCTTGGCTTGGAGGTTGTCTGAGCTCTTTGGAGCTGCTGAAAACAAGAGCAGCTTGACCCGTCGTGGGCTTCCCAGCGGCTGTGTCCAGATGGATGGCAGGACCCTGGCAGTGGCTGCAGGAGATGTGAACCACTCTGACCAGTGTGAGGAGTTCCTTGGGGTTATTAGGGTGAGTTTCAGGAGTGCTCCCACCCTCGGACACAAGGCAGCTCCACAGCAAGAGGCTGAGACCCCTGCAATGGCCCCGAGGTTAAGGCCAGGCACTGAGGGCCTTTGTGAGGCTGTTTCAGTGACAATCCCAGCTCACATCCCAGGCTCCAGCCCCTGCTGGCGCTCAGGAAGCGTTCAAGACCAGGTTGGACCCGTGTTCTGGCAGCTCCCTGTGCAGGTGGGGACAATGGAAGAGGAAGAGTACAGAGCTGGAGCTTGGAGAAGGGTTGGGATTCTCTCCAGAGCACAAGAGAGGAAGGGATGCTCCCTGCTGAGGGCCAGCATGTTCCTCTGGTTCTGCAGAGCCATCCCTAACCCTGGGCATGACTTCAGCCTCGTTGTTGCTCATACTTGAGCAGTGCTCTCTGTTCCTTTCATTTCTCCTTGGGATTGGGATCCCCCTGCTTCCCCAACCCCTTTTCCCTAACCTTCCTTGCACATTTCAGCACTGAAACCTGCTGCGGTACATCCCATTGCAGGGGTAAAACCAAGCCCAGCAGAGCCAGGTGGTGTCGGTCCATGTGGGATACTGTGGGGAGAGGGCAGGGAGGAGGGTGGCACTCGGGGAGGGCAGGCAGCCCCATCGGGAGCGTGGAGCTGCTGCTGCTGCTGCCCTGGCTGTGGGTGGACACCGTGTGCCGCCTGCCTCCATCTGCCTGCAGCATCCAGGGCAAGAGCAGTGCGAGATGGCAGAATCGCACTGACTGCAAAGCATGCAGCAAGCACGCATCCTCCCGGCTCCAGGAGGGCATCCATCCATCCATCCATCCATCCATCCATCCATCCATCCATCCATCCATCCTCCGGGCCAGGATGCCAGGCTGCC